GACCAATGAGGTATTTTTAAAATATGAATTTAACAGTTTGTTTTGTTGTGTTGGGGGGGGGGTTGGTGAGAAAAAAAATTTGTGTTCATAATTACCCAGCTGGACTCAGTTCAGATGATCACAGTTTTGTTGGCAGCATCCAAAGCATCATAGCCAGGTGCAAGTTGAATAGGCCTTCTTCTCACCATCAGGGCTAATCAAAGTGCTGACCTTAGTCACATCAACATCACAGAGCTTCATTACAGCTTGTTTGATTGGTGCTTGTTGGCCTTGACATTCACAATGAACACAAGTGTGTTATCTTCTTCTTCTTCGTGGCTGACTTGGTGGTCAGGGGAATCTTGATGTCAAGCTTGTTTCTCCTGGGGGGCGCTCCTTTGTATTTATGTATTTGTGCTGCCTTCGGAGTCTCAGCATCTTAGGCTGCCGGAAGGTGGGTGACATGTGCATCTTTTTTTTTTTTTTTTTTTGTGGCTGTGGATGCCCTTCAGGACACCTTTGCTTTGGCTTCAGTTTGGGAGGGACAGGGGCTTCCTTCTTCGCTTTCGGTGCCATCTTTGTGAAAAAGCAATAGTTTTTTTTTTTTTGTTTTTTTTTCCCCCCTTAGACATTTTAATATATCCTTTAAAATACAGAACACCACAAGTCACAACGTAATTATGCAATAATTGTTTTTCTAAATTGGGGCAAGAATAACAAATAGAAATTGGTCACGGGTTATGTGACTATTGCAACACTCTGAATATTCTGGTTCTTAAGACAGGTCTCTACTTTTTTTTTTTTTTTTATTTCTGTAATGAGCTTTATGCGACATCACAAAACAGACCTGGGCTCCTGTGTTTGTCATTGGGAAGCCAGCTGTTGCATTTGACACCTTTCAATTATGATAGCAGTGAAATCACAAAGGTTTTCATTAACAAGCCATTATTGTTGCAGCCAACTGTATACACATAGTTTATCTGTCAATCTCTCCCTCAAAACTACTGAGTTGTATAGTAGTAGGGGTGGTGTCTATCTCATTCATTAAAATAATGATGTTATTCGTTGCCTCATTTTTTTTTCTTTCCCTCATCTGTTTCAATACAATATACATAATCAAAGTGGTTGACTCTGGAGGACATTATGCTGAGTGAAATATCTCAGTCTCAAAGGGACAAATACTGCATGGTGCCACTGTTGTAGAATGGGTCTGACATCAGGGTGGGGGTATGACAGAAAAAACTGGATAAATTATGTATAAAAAGCAATAGTTTTTTATATAACAATCCATTGCCGATGTTTTAGTTACTCACGCTCAGATTGTTTCACCTGGGACTGGTGGAAAGAAGCCTGTTCAAGTTGACTCTTCCTCTCTGCATTATATCTTATTTTGTTGAGAATACAAACAGCAAACACATCATTTCAACATTTTTACATATACAGTGCATTGTCATACATTACATTCTGAGTCAGACAAACATTCTCATCCTCCTCTCCCCTCTATGTTTTGTTCCTTTCTTTTTAACATATAATCACTGCCTTCTAAGATTCCTATCTAGTCCCTCAAGTTGTGTTGTCAGTTTAAGTCTGTATATATATAATTCTCAAAAATGGATAAAGCTCAAAGCAGGTTTTGGTTTTTGCTTTTTGGGGTTTTGTTTTTTAACTAGTTCAACTATTATTTCATTTTAAGGGGTTCAGGAGATATTTTTAATTTAAAAATTATTTCAGGGTTGTAGCTCAGGAGTTGATCTTCCTTCAGGAGCTCCAGAAAATCTAGATTACAGGAGAATTTGATATTCATTTTTGCATTCTCCCCCTTTTTTGATCAGATATATTTGATAAAAATGTTCACTAATGGTAGATAAGCACCATTTAGTTTTGGTCTAATGACGAAGAAGGCAGTTGCTCATGGACATGGAGACTGACTCTTGACAAATTGACCTTTGACACTACCCTAGTATTCTGTGATTTTGGTAGGACAATATTCCAGAATCATATTAAGCAATCCCTAAAGCAGGCTGGGTTTTTTCAAAGAACATTGATTCCTTTAGTGGAAAATTTATATTTAGTGATTAAATATTTCAGATCCAAGCATATAAACCATTGTGCTCAGGGACTCCCTACCTGGATGTTAGAGTGTTATTTCAGTAGTAGCCTTGTTTAAAGATCATATCATCAAAAGTAAAATAAGACAATTCTTAAATCTACTTCTGGTCTTGTAATTTTGGAGATGTAAAGTACAGTTTCAATTCAGAATGAACTTTCCTTTGAACTCATAATTTGTCTTGTTTTGTTATTTTCTTTCCTTTGTCATACAGTCTTCCATTAGCTAAATTATTTGCAGTTATACAATACAGAATTTAATTTAAAAAATTTTATTTTAATATTTAGAAACCTCTCATGTTTTAAAAATTTAGGTGTATGTGGTTATCAGAATTAATGGAGTGTGTAACATCTGAGTATATTGTTGCCGTTGTATTTTCTCAGAGAGATGTGAATGATTCATTTTGTTATAGTGACTTTTATGTCACTATTTTCATTTGAAATGTTACCTTAGCATTATGCTGAATACACATTTCCATCTACAGAAGTCACATTCTTATTATTTAAATGATACGTTCATTTTAATCCTATATAGAAAGAGTTAGAAATTTGTACTAAAGTGGATTGACGGAGAAATACAATTTAAATAATAAGAATATTTTCTTTTTTATAATACTAATAACAAAAGAAGGTCACCCCCTACTCATCACTGTAATTCAGCTCTCAATTAGTCTGATAGGATAGCATATCAATGATAATTCTTGGAGCTTAAGTCATTCTCTGCTACTCATAATAAGCTGTATATTTTAAGAGTTTGATTAGATGTGTCTTTCTGGCTCCAAGGATACCATGTAGGGCAGCACTTTTATATTGTATAAATAATTACTTACAAAAGTTCATTCACAAGGTTTATTATCAAGTCATGGGAATGTAAAAAGACCCTATTAAGATGAAATTAAGATTCTGAGCATAAGACCCATTACTGTCCTTTTATAATGGCAAAATAGACTCATTATCTCCAAGATTGCTGTCAACACTTGTATTTTGTGATACTGCAGAACTTAGATAATGGTTTAGCTATGTACAATATAAAATTTTACCTATGTGATTTTGAATAAACATCTCTTCCTTTAAAAAAAATACAAACCCCATTTGATGGAGTATAAATGATGCTTACCTCATTATGTACCATCTTTCAAGGAATGTGTAGCTTTTCTTCCCACCTCTTTTTCACTTCTTTAGTACCCACATAAATCAATAAGCAATTGTTTAAACAAATCAGAGGCTATTGTATGGTGTAAAATCAGAAAATGTGTTTGTCAGAGCTGCATCCTTTCACCATGCTTATTCATTCTGTGTGTGCTGGGGAAATATTCTGGAAACTTGGACTATTTGAAGAAGAATGTAGCATCAGGATTGAAGGAAGACTCACCAGTAACTTATTTATGAAGATAATGCAGTCTTGCTTGACAGAATCAAGAGAATGTGAAACACGAGTAAATATAATGATAGACTACAGACTTCAGAATACATTATATTTTAACATAAAGTAGCCCAAAATCTTCACAACTAAACCAATAGGCAACATCATGATACATAGAAAAGGATTGACAGTATCAATGATTTCTTTTACTTGAATCCACAATCAACACTCAGAAATTATATCTGCTGTCAAAGAGAGCAAAAATGTCAGTTTAAAGACTAAGGTGCTCCTGCTCCAAGCTTTGATATTCTGTTACTTCATATGTGGACAGTGAATAAAGATGACTTGAGAAGAATAAATGCCTTTGCTTAGTGTTAATGATGAGTATTGAAGATACATGGACTATATTCACTTCATGTACTTTGGTATATTATCAGAAGGTGCTTATCCTTGGAGAAGGACATGCTGGGAAATGTTAGCAAAAGAGAGAAAGACCCAAAATGAGGTTGACTGATAAAGTGCAATATAGGTACTGCAGAATTTCTAAGAATAATACCTGATTGGGCAAGGTTTTAAGTCAGTTTTGTAGCAGCAACCACCACCATTCATTTTTTAAGCAACTATGACCTAATTTTTGTATAATCTCTTGTACTGTCCTGTACACAACCGAATTCCTTGGCCTGAACTACACTTACAGCAGTGCCTATTTGTGACTTTGTGAATCGACTTTTCTATACAACATGTGAACACATTAAGTGTCATCACAGTGTCGTACATAATGTCCCTTAGAAACAAAAGTTGAAAAAATAAACATGAATGGCATTTTTGCCTTTTCTCTAGGGTGCTGTATCATTTTTTAAGAAAGAATTGTAGCATCATAAGGGTTATATTGTTTTATGGATCTTTAGCTATGAGCTCTATAATATTATATAAAAAATTATATATATATATAACTCGATGGCACTTACAACAACAACATAAAATAATACTAATAAGGAAACCTAGCTGTTGTGTTGCAGTAAACACTTAAGTTATGGTGTTAATGTTTTAACTGATAATATATATTTCATGTACAAATATTAAAATAAGGAACATGCTTTCACAGATCCTTTTTTATCACTCTTGGAAATATAGTTTACAGATAATCCATGTTACAGTTTTGATTTGCTGTCCTTGTTTTATTGCATATTTTAAGATGTATATAAAAGAGACCCAACTCCCCCTTGAACTGAGATCAAAACAGAGGTTATGTTTTAATCCCAAGTAATTTGCATAAACTGCTATATGTAGCATACCTTGAAACATTACTTCAGCTTTTTCAAGCTAAAATACTTTTTTTAAAGGCTTAGATTTTTATTTGAATATTAAAAATCCTGAAAATTACATTTCAAAGAGCAATAAGACTATTAATTATGTATTATATATAAATATGGTTAATCTATAGAAATATGTTTAAATAGATTTAAATATGGTTGCTAAGCAATAAAAAACATTTGTGTGATCATGCTGAAATTATATGCTTGTAAAACACTAATTTTGTCTTCATATTTAGGAAACGAGAATTCGGGCAATGGAAAAGGATGCCAAGAAAAGAATCCATCATTTCTCTGTCATCAACCCTGGGGCTGGACAGGCCGTGACTCAGGTGTTTTCAGCTGACAATAGAGAAGACCTTCTCAAGTGGATGGATGCCTTCTGGCAGCACTTCTTTGATCTTTGTAAGTAGATATTTGAATTTTCAAAGGGTTTATTCAGGTAGCATGAAAAGATATACAGCAATCTGAATATTCAAATTCTACAATTTGGATAAAGATTATTTTCTTTTATGTTGTTTAATAACATTGTAAGTTACCATCAGCCTGTCTGTCATGTTTTTCTTTCTACTGTTCCCCACAGTCAGTCTCAGGTGTAATAATATATAGAGTACTTTGGACATGTTGTAAGGAGAGACAGGTCTTTAGAGAGGGACATCATGCTGGGTAGAGTGGAGGGACAGCGCAGGAGGGGAAGACCCTCTA